GTGAAGTTAAGAGAATAAAATTCTGGTCAAGCTGCAGTAACACGTGCTGGATGCTGCTACTTGGCTGGCTAAAGCTACATGGGAGGCCCGGGCTGGACTCTCAGCCCACCCTAACGAGCTAGGTGTGGCAGTGTGGGCCTCTTGTGCCAGCTACTAGGGAGGTGGAAGCAGGAGGATGGTGACATGAGATCCTGACTAAAAATCATACACACCCCTGAAACAAAGTGTAAAATTTCATAAAATGTAAAGATCTCGTAAAGTTTAATAACAACATAATGACAACTGTCTGTCAATGTATAAATCATTACCAGTGGTGGGCCAGGTAGAATAATGGTTATGTCATTGGACTCCCACATAGGTGACAAAGGTCCCAAATCTGGTGACTTAAAACTCATGCTGGAGGGACCAGCTGTTAGCATAATGGCTATGTCGCTGGACTCCCCTATAGTTGACCGCGGTTCCAGTCCTGGCCATGGTGGCTTAACCTCACACCGGGCGCGTGTGTGTCCGTGCCCAAGATCCTGAGAAGAAAATGGAGGAGAAGGGACTGTGGCGTGGCCATGCCCCCTGGAGGGTGATTTCTTGCTTTCTATCTCTCTGTCTTTCTGGTGAGCACACGCGCCCTATAGCAAAAACCTTTCAAAAAAAAAAAACAAAAAACCTCATGCTGGGTGTGTGTGCATGCTCAAAATCCCAAGGTGAGAATGGAGGAGAAGGGATCCTGGTGTGGTCATCCCCCCTGGGGGGTAGCATTTCTCACTTTCTGTCTCTCTGGCAAGTGCACACGCCCTATAGCAAAAACAAACAAACAAACAAATCTCTCCAAAACAAAAATCTCTGCCAGTGATTCTGTTAAGATTACAATGTAGGGTCAGTCCTGTAGTATAGTGGTTAAGCCCTCTGCATTTGGAGCTGGATCTCAAAACAGCCAACTATGGTTTGAATCCTGACTCCAATGGCTTAAAAAATATGCCAGGTATGTGTGCCCCTGTGCCCAAAATTCTGATGAGAAGAAATGGAGGAAAATGGATTGTGGAGCACACACCACTGTCTCCATGGCAAGTACATGTGCTCTCTAGCAATGACAAAAGATTATCACGTAGTCAGTGTTAACTTGAAGCAAGCAGTACTAAGGTCTTTGGTTTCTAGGGTGAATTTATTATTCTCTAAGGACAACATGGGAGTCATTTATCTGCCATGGAAGAAATTCTGTCTTCTTATATTAGAACCCCCCAAAATGATACATAGTTAGGTATACACAGTGAGAAAAATGAACAGTGCACTAGAAATCAGCAACATGACAGGAAAATACAAAACAATGTTTGTACATTTATTTTTCACAAAAAGTAAATAAAATTTGTTTTTCTGCCCCAATCCAATCTTTTTCAGTTTTGGTTTGCTAGAGTGCACATACACTTGCCAGCAAGAGGGGGGAAGAGGGAGAGAGAGACAGTTTAAACTCAGAAATAATCCCCCTAACGGGGATGGCCAGGCCACAATCCCTTCTTCATTCTCCTGGGATTTTGGGCACACACACAAGTGCACTGAAAGTAATTTTCTAAGCACCAGGTCCACAACTTAAACTGCCTGGCTAGCCATGTGGGATCCAGTTGCCTTGACCAGCACACCACGGGCTATCTCAAGCCAAGTAATTTTTTTTTTTGAGAGGTGTTTGCTATAGGGCATGTGAGCTCACCAGGAAGACAGAAAGTGAGAAGTCACTCCCCAGGGGGATGGCTATGCCGCAATCCCTTCTCCTCCATTCTCCTCTCGGGATCTTGGGTACACACGTACATGTACCTGGCATGAGTTTAAGCCACCAGGTCCAGGACTCGAACTTTGGTCGACTACAGGGAGTCCAGCGACATAACCATTATGTCAACTGCTGGTCCCCAAAGCCAAATAATTTTGGTTAAGTATATTTATTCTTAGTGTAAAAGACTCATTGCAGAGAAAAAAAAAGATAGTCTAATTTATTCATAGCAATTTACAAGAAGAAAAAAGAATGTATATACTATGATCCTACTACAAAAATCAATTCCCTTCACTGTGCGGCAAAATTGAATTATAGCTAGGAAGCCAGCCTGAGTCTGTCAAACTGAACAGAATAATGAAACATTCTCTCACTTAATAGAAGAATGAAACAATGCTAAATGCATGAACAGTACCTGTTCTTCCTCTTTCCTTTTCTCTTCTCTCCTTTCTTCAAGTTTTTTTGTTAGTCTGTGTTTAAGAAAGAAAAAAAAAAACTAAAAACCGAGAAACTAACACATAAAACACATGTAGTTTTATTTAGCTAAAACAACCGGGGAAACAGAGAAACCATCCAAAAAAGCCTCTGACGGCACACCACAATTTACCTACCTGACCTCCACAGAAATCCCTGAGTCAATGGAACCCACCAGAAGCCTTGCTTCAGCTCAAGGGCCACACCTTCTATTTAATATCAGAGTTACTGTTCCTTTATCTGTTACTGAATTTAAAAAACACAAATAGGGACCAGCAGATGGAGTAATGGTTATGTTGCTGGACTCCCACATGGCTGACCGTGGATCTAGCCACTTGAATTACCACACCACTGGCTGATCTCATATTTTACACTTCTTAGCGCCAATAATACATTTTATGGTTTTCATTAGTACTAAAAACAAAAAATTTAGATCATACAATTACAAACCACCAATATTTTTTTAAAATTAAGTTTACTTGACGAAAGGAAGGTAGAAAGTTTTTATGTACACGAGAGGATGAGTTTCTAAGTTGACATCAATTTGGTTTAGTCACCTTGACCCCTAATAAAATTAGTTTTTCTTGAAGCTAGATGAGAAAAGTGTCTACAACCTAGTGTAGAGTAATAAATTTTTCAGAAATGTAGTCTATTGTAAGTAGATCTTAGGTTCAGTCATAGACTGCAAGAAAATTTAGACTCTCACATTTGCTAACCCGTCCTGCCAAATTTTAGGGCTGAGTTTTTAATTGTATGAAATTAAGAGAGAGAGGGAGAGAGAAAGAGAGGAAAAGTAAGAAAGCAAGCCACCAAGTCTGGAACTTGCACCACGGTTGGCCATATGAAAATCCAGCACCCTCAACCACCATGCCATCTGCTGGCCCCATAAAACACAAACACACACACACACACACACATATATTTTTTTTTTTGAGAGGTTTTTGCTATAGGGTGCATGCGCTCGCCAGCTAGACAGAGACAGAGAGATAGAAAGCGAGAAATCACCCCCCAGGGAGGATGGCCACACTGCAATCCCTTCTCCTCCATTCTCCTCTTGGGATCTTGGGCACGCACGCACACGTGCCCGGCGTGAGTTTAAGCTAGCGGATCCAGGACTCAAACTGCGGTCAACTACATGGGAGTCCAGCAACATAGCCATTACGCTAACTGCTGGTCCCAAAACATATTTTAAATAGCATCAAGGGGGCCAGCAGGTGGTGTGGTGGTTGAGGGCGCTAGACTGCATGGTGGCTGCATGATTCAAGTCCTGCACCCAGCAGCTTGAAAATCATGCTGGGCACATGTGTGTACATGCCCAAAATCCTGAGAGGAAAGTGAAGGAGAAGGGATTGCAATATGGCCATTCCCCATTGGAAGGTGATTTCTCATTTTCCCTCTCTTTCTCTGTCACTCTCCAGCAAGCACGCATGCCTTTTACCAAAAATAAATAAAAAACATTTCAGTTCTATGAGACAAGGAAATCAGTGATACTTAGGTTTAAGAGTTCAATAACCCTGCAGAGGATGGCAGAAAATCAGTGAGTCAGAAGCACAGGGCATCGCAGCAAGTACGGCAGGAGATGGTGAGACCGAAGGCTATCCTTAGTGCATATGATGGGTGACAAGGACATCCGGGATAGGAATAGCCTTAGGCTAGTGATATTAGTTACTGTCACAGTCAGTGAGTCAGATACCACAAAAGGAACATGATTCTTTTTTTTGGGAGAGTTTTTTGCTATAGGGCGCGTGCGCTTGCCAGAGAGAGAGAGGGAGACCGGGAGATAGAAAGCGAGAAATCATCCACCGGGGGGGATGGCCATGCCGCGATCCCTTCTCCTCCATTCTCCTCTCGGAATCTTGGGCACGCACACACACGCGCCCCTGAGTTTCAAGCCACCAGGTTCAGGACGCGAACCGTAGTCGACTACGTGGGAGTCCAGCGACATAGCCATTACGCTAACTGCTGGTCCCAGGAACATGATTCTTAACTGGGTATGAATTTGGATGACTACAATATAAGACCTCAACTTGAAAATTAGTTAGGAATGAGGACCTTGGCTTCACAAGTTAGTTGAAACTGCTAAAGTAATCAACGAAAATCTGAAGTGCTTATATGATTTTTTTTTTTGAGAAATTTTTGCTCTAGGGAGCATGCGCTCACCCCAGAGAGACAGAGTGAGAAATTACCCCCCAGAAGTATGGCCATGCCACATCTGTTCTCCTCCTGGGATTTTGGGCACCTATGCAAATTTACCTGGTGTGAGTTTTCAGGCACTGGGTCTAAGACTCGAACCACAGTCGACTGACTATGTGGGAATACAGTGATGTAACCATTATACCATCCTCTGGTCCTATGCTGAAAGAATTTAAATTCCGTGACTTGAATATTTTTTTAAAGAATTACTTTATTTATATTTATTTATTTATTTATATTTTTTAATCTGATCAGAGAGGGACACAGTAAAAAAGAGAGAGAGAGAGGGAAAG